TGTGGGACTCGAACCCATGACTCTGGTATCATGATCTGAGCAGAAGGCAGATGCTTAACTGACTGAGCCACCCGGTGCCCCAAGATATTTGCTTTATTTTTTTTTTAAGATTTTATTTATTTATTTGACAGAGCGAGAGATAGCACAAGCAGGCAGAGTAGCAGAGGAAGGAGAAGTAGGCTCCCCACTGAGAAGGGAGCCTGATGCGGGCCTCGATCCCAGAACCCTGGGATCATGGCTTGAGCCAAAGGCAGTTGCTTAACCAACTAAGCCACCCAGGTGCCCCAAGATATTTGTTCTGATCATGTATGTGGCAAATGTGAAGGAGCCTGCACAAAATGCAATGCACAAAATATAATAGGGAATTACAGGTGAAAGACCTGCCAACCCTCTCTAGAAAAATGAGGAAAGCCTTTACAGAAGAGACTGTTTAGAAAAATTTTTGTTAAATGAATAAATCTCGAAGAACAACGTTATTCAAACTCATATCCAAACTCATTCAAACTTAAAACCCTTTTACTAGAAAGACACTAAGGATCTAGAGAACACATGGAAACAGGCATTTCGGTCTAAGAAGGCATATAAAGACGCAAACCACACTTTGAGAAGCCCTCAAACTTGTCTTCATTTTTTAAAATTTTCCTTTTTTTTTTTTTTTAAGATTTTTTATTTATTTGACAGAGAGAGGGGGAACACAAGCAGGGGGAGTAGGAGAGGGAGAAGAAGACTCCCTGTGGAGCAGGGAGCCCAATGCAGGGCTCGATCCCAAGACCCTGGGATCATGGCCTGAGCTGAAGGAAGACACTTAATGACTGAGCCACCCAGGCACCCCTTAAAAAATTTTCAACAATAAAATGACTACACTTAAATGAAGTCCCTTTAAAGCTTCTTATTTTTTAAGTAAAAGTGTTACTGCAACAGCATATTAAAAAGAAATCTAGACGATGAAGATAGAAGTATAACAACAAATGGTATAAAAAAACTTCATGGATCACAGAATCCAGATTACAAATAAAGGCCAAGGCAATGATGGCTGACCAAAACTGAAGATGATTCTTGTTAACATTAGATTAGCCTTAGTTAGTCTGGACTGGAGACTAAAATCAACTCACATCTTACCTTAGCATTAGGAAAAAAGTAAGCTTCTTTAGTCAAATTCCAGAAAACCAGTACTATTCCTTCAACTACATTTTTTACTAAATTATAAATACACCACTTTGCGGTATTTTCTGCTTCAAATGTATGGTTTATGAAGAGTCGGGTTTAGAAACATAGGTTAATATAAACACAACTCTTGATTTCTTAGGTTATCAGAAAGATAAAACTTAGAGTTACATTCAAGTTACAGTCATACTTTTAGCAGGAAACAGGTGCCTAAACCAGGAACAAATGCCTCATCTTTTCATTAAGCATTCTTTTTTCATATAATGAGTACCTTTATGCAAACAGATTACAAAAATCCCTTTACATCTAACCACACACTATAGTTTTCTCCATAGTAGTGTCTCAGTTTCTTTCTTCTAAAATACATTTCAGACCACGTGAATTGAAAAGCTACAACTGAAATGATAGAAAACCACCTAAATGTCTACCTTGTCAGAGTGGTTACATGCATTCTTGTATATTACACAGAAATAATACAGAATGGAGAAGGAAGCTCTCCGTGTATTGATATGAAAGATACCCAAGGCGAGTTAACTGAAAAAAAAAAAATCAAAGTATAGAGCAGTATATGCAGTGGGCTACATTTTGTGTTTAAAATGAAAAATAAGAATATATATGTTAGCCATAAAAAAGAATGACATCTTGCCATTTGTAACTACATGGATGGATATGGAGGGTATCATGCTAAGTGAAGTAAGTCAGTCAGAGAAAGACAAATATCACATGTTTTCACTGATATGTAAATTTTAAGAAACAAAACAAACAAAGAGAGAGAGAGACAAAAAAGCAGACTTAACTATAGAGAACAAACTAATGGTCACCAGAGGGGAGGGGAGGTGGGGGGATGGGTGAAATAGATAAAAAGAATTAAGAGTACACTTATGGTGATGAGCACTGAGTAATGTATAGTAATGTTCTACATATTACTATTATATAGTTATATATATATTATTATTTTATATATTATTCTATATATATTATCATTCTATATATTACATATATAATATATATTCTATATATTATATAGCTAAATCACTATATTGTATGTCTGAAACTAATATAACATTGTACACTAATTATACTGGAATTTTTTAAATGTACATATATCTTTATTTGCTTATATGTGCATAAAGAAATTCTGGAAGGATATGGAAGAAACAAATACCAGAAGTTATCCAGAAAAAATTAGAGAGTAAGATCAAGGGTGGGAGAGAGAGTTTTCACTGTAAATTTTTTAAATTTCTGAGCCATGTTAATATATTTATATTTTCAAATATTTAAATAAAAGTAATTTAGAAGAATAAGCTACAATTATAATAATTATTGCTTAATTCTATGTTAGGTAATAATAATTTTCTTCCTATCTTTTCTTCCATTCTGATCTTAATTAGTCAAAAATTCTAGTTCTCAGGAAACAAATTAATTACCTAGCACATATAAGCTAAACATATAATTATGCTTAAAAGAAGAATTTATTCTTTCCTCCTCTTCCAATATCTTCACTTAAATTGACAATTAAGGATAGCAAGGGTCATCTAGCTCATGAAACAGAAATACATCTCCCTTGACTTCTGAATGGAAAATATCACTAGCATAAAAATTAATATACATTTTCCACTTAAAATTTTTAAATAGTTACATTGTCCAGTGGGCCTACTGACTGGCATTGCAATTTTCCAAATATTACAGCATTATAATTTCCAGGTGTGTGTTATTTTTCAAACTAACAACCAAAAAATTGCAAACATATTTCTGATTTAGCAAACAAATTGAATAGGCCCTCACTGTCCCGGGGAAAAGTGCCTCAGTGATCCCCAGATAGTCATGGCCCCTATCTCACCACAGACACTATGCTCCTCCCACAGAGAACTTCTGAAGTCAACTCAGAAACCTCACAACTCCAGGGTTTTCCATAGTGCATACCTGTGCCTAATCTGTCCCCCTCCATTCTCAACACCCTTATCTATCTTTAAAAGCTCAGCTGAGCAGCACCTAGATGGCTCAGTCAGCAGAGTGTCTGCCTTTGGCTCAGGTCATGATCCCCCGGTCCTAGGATAGAGTCCTGAGTTGGACTCCCAACTCGGGGCTCAGCTAGAGGCCTGCTTCTCCCTCTCCCTCTGCCCCTCACCCCACTCTTTCTTTCTCTCTCTCAAATAAATAAAATCTTTAAAAAAAAAAAAAAAAAAAAAAAGTACCCGGAGACCTTTCTTGCCTTCCATTCACCACCTGAGGACACAAGTCTGCCCCCATGACCACCCTGATCCCCTCTCCAGAACTAAGAAATACATTTCTGTTGTTTATAAGCCACCGGTCTATTCTACTTTGTTACAGAAGTCCAAACTGACCAAAATAATTACCCTTTTCTAAAAATTAGAATTGTATTTTACAAAAGGCTTTCAAATTATAGAAGCCATTAGAAGTAGAAGTAAAAAACAAGCTTTGTCTCCATGTTAAAATGCTCCTAATACATATCTGTCACTTTTTATGTGCCCTTCAATAGCTAATTAGTTCATACCCTAGAACTGGAAGATATTTTCCACTCACTACTTTTCTCTGACTTCACTGAGACTATCAAACATTGATCATCAAATTAAGCACATTAGGCAGTATCTCCTCCATTCCTCCTCCCAACCTCAACACCACCCTGCGCCTAATTAACACTCCCTCCTATGGCCTGAGAAACAGAAATGAGAATCCCTTGGATCTGAAGGGATTTAGCCTTGATTTATTCATTCAAATATTTGCTAAAATCACTCTCAAGTGTCAGGCACCAGGACCTGCCCTCTGTGAGTTCACAGGAGAGTAAGGAAGACTGACAAAGAGGTCTCTCAATCTTCACTCTTCCTTTCTTTCATTATTGTTGGCAATTATGAGATTAGCAGCAATGAGAAATACATACATTGGTTAAGTGTCTGTCTCTGGCTCAGATCATGGTCTCAGGGACCTAGGATCAAGCACCATGTCAGGCTCCCTGCTCAGCAGGGAGTCTGCTTCTCTCTCTCTCTCTCTCTCTCTCTCTCCCTCCCTCCCTCTGTCCCTCCTCCTGCTTGTGCTATCTTGCTCACACTCTCTCTCAAATAAACAAAATCTTTAAAAAAAAAAAAAGAATTACAAATGCTTGTAGATTTGAATACAAAAATAAGCAATATTACAAAATATATATACAATACATCATTTCACATGTATCTATCAATATTCACAATTCTAACAGAAACGACCATTGTGGGAGTTTGGCTGTATGTTCCCTTTCATTTTTTAAACAAGTTCAAGTTTACCTGAAATTTTTAAATGACCTTTTTCAGCTGATACTTAGATAGTATTTTCTAACACTGTAATAAGAAACAGCCTTCCTCAAGATATAAGCTAGATTCATGGACTAAACAGGTCATTTTGGGTCCCCATTGAACATATGCCCCTGGGAAGGTACTTTGAGGGTCTTATTCTCTAACCCCAGACCCCACATTCAGTCACGGCTCACTCATGCTCTGAAGCGAAAGAATAAATGGATGAATCAATGATGTAGAGTACTGAAATCTAACAAATCAAGTCTTCACATGGTTATTAGCTCATAAATCAGCCACTCCATGCTGAAAGGTCAAGATGCAAAAGGAATTCAAGGAGAAAATTAATTCCTAAAAGGAAAATGCTATTTTATTCCTACTAGAGAGGGGGGGGAAAGAACTCTGCAAAAATAAAATAATAAGAACTACCAACTCATTTCATTCTATATAACATCGTGGTCACAGTCTTAAGACAGTTAAAAACATGGTATTCCAACTCGACAGTGGCTGCTGTCTAACCAAGCGCTATTAGCCCAAGTCTCCCAAGAGTTATACCTGAACGGAAGGTAGGGGGAGTTTGAGCCAGATAGGAGTGCTCTGTAGGCTTCTTCTGGTGTCTTCTTTAAATAGATTACCTAAGACAGATAAATAGCAACATTTAGAACACCACCAAAGAATGACACAAAACTAATTTAATTACCCACCAAATTTGCATTTCCCTTTTTCCACTTTGACAACTGTCAGTCGTGGTGATAATGCTAACCTTTAAAGGACAGCAACCAAGCCACCAAAATTTCCTTTTCAGCTTGAAGCTGAGCTGCCACCTTGGGCTTAGAACCGGGTAAGAGCCTAGAGACGGCGCATAGACCCATAAAGAGGCCATCCAGGAGTGTTTACAAGGCGCACTGAATGGATACAATGGCAGAGTTTTCCCTTTTGGGAACAGAACAATTCTACTTTCATTATTATACTGCGCACTCACAGTACAATAAAGTACAGTAAAATCAAATCACAACACAGCAACACATATGAATGTGGGTAGGAGACCCTCGGGGACGCCCGAGTGGCTCAGTCGGTCAAGCCCCTGACTCTTGGTTTCAGCTGGGGCCGTGGTCTTGGGGTTGTGGGATCAAGCCCCACATCGGGCTCCATGCTCAGTGTGGAGTCTGCTTAGGTTTCTTCTCTCTCTCTCTCTCAACTAAATAAGTAAAAATATTCAAAAATATTTTTTTTTAAAAAGAGCACTAGAAAACACACTGGCTTGACTGTTGATACTGAGGATACTTAAATCCCTCTGGCCCAGCATGATAAACTAATCTTAAAGAAACAAAAAGGAGCTCTTCAAACCAATAAACAACCTAATCAACATATTGACTATATAATATGTGCTAGGCACTGTATGGTACTGGTACCTCTCTTGATAGAATTTACATTACACGGCAAAGACAATAGTTAACAAAAACAAACACATTCTGAGATAGGTGCTAAAAAGGAAATAAACAGGGTTCTGGAAAGAGAATAGAAAGGGGTTGCTTGAGAGAAGGCACAGAGAAGGCTCCCTCAGAGACTTGTAGGGTAAGATCTGCAGGGCACACGCCATGGAAAAGCAAGGAAAAGGAGGAAGCACTTGCCAGGCAGTGGGAATAACGAGGGCACCATCCTTGCCAAGGGAAAGAGCTTGGTGATCGGACAGAGAGATCCTCAGTGTGGCTGGGACGTGGGAAGGAGAACCACGTGGTGGCCAAATTGTGCAGAGCAATACAAACCATAGGCAGACTCCAATTATATTCTAAGTATAATTTAATATCTTAACTTTGAGCTGAGAACATTGGTCCTTTCCTCTATAGTTTGAATCAAATTTTATTCCCAAAGATCCTCTCTACCTAGAATTAATGGCATTATTTCAAAACCCTGTGCATTTCAGCAAGAGTGCCAGGGTCTCAGTTCTTAAAAAGCAGGGCCTTCCTCTTTACTTGCAAATCTCCTCTGAGTTTTAAGCTAGCCCACTAGCAATATATTTCATGCATTTTTAACTATTAATATTTTCAGGACTAGAATACATCTTAATTCTGTCTTCTAAAGAAAGAAAACTAAAATAAATATATAAAATAGACTTAAAGCCTTTAAAAGAAAGCTCTGTACTACTTGACAAGCAAGCCTGACGGTCTGATAGAGACACACCAACCAAAACCAACTGAACGTGAAACAAGAACAGCCCAGAAAATGAAACCACTGTAAAGAATGATCTAGGCGTGAGTCACTCATTATACAGGAGAATCACAGCTCTAGTTGCATCTCCAATAATCAGAAAAATCCACTTAAATCAACCCTGGCTTTAAAGCCCACTTTCAGTAAACAATATAAAAACAGGATTTTGCTGTGCCTTAATGGGAGGTTATACTCTATAAATAGAGATGGTAATAATGCGGTGATTTCTCAAGCATAAAGATGCAGCACTACTGGAAAGCTGACTACCTCTGCTAAAAGGGAAAGCTGCTGGAAAATGCTTCTATGTTTGCATGACATAATTAAAGCTCAGACAGCAACCTTTGAAAAGCAAAAATACATTTCCTTCCTCAGCAGCAATTACATTAATTCCCTTTAATTTCAGGGCAGCCATTCTGCAAGAGAGGCAAAAGACCACATGAAATACTTCTTTAACCTGGATACCCCACAGGGTTTAGCTACTCATCTTACCTGCATGACTTAGCACACATGACCCATGTTCTCACACTGTAAGATGAGAGTCTGTTTTTATTTTTATCCCAGTGCTAAATTATTAATAAGTGCAAAATGAAACCCAGCAGAGGCCATCTAAATTCCCAGAAGGGTCCAGGGGTAGGTAAATACAATGACCTTTTACAACCTGATGATCGGTGAAACGTAATAAATGAGTGCCTTACTGTATGCATGCTAGGGTCATTAAAGTACCAAATTTACTTCTGAAAAAGAACATGTCACAGATATTTTTTTGTCAAAGATTCTTAATGCTACATCTTCTGGGATATGTCTCCTATTAAAAGAGAAAGTGAGACAGAGAGACAAACTAGGCCTGACTAAAGCTGGGAATAATAAAAACATTTATTAAGCCTTGCTGCTGAGGAATCTAAAGCCCAGAAAGGCACGGAACTTTCCAAACTCACACTGCTGCTCTTTGACAGAGTTAGAATTCAAACAAAGATCCGACTCCAAAGTCGGTAATCTGCTAAAAAATATAAACATAACGCAACAGCAGCACAAATGGGGGGAAAAAATTCCTATTCTTCCAAATTCCTAAAACACCATTACACTTGACTTTTTTTTTTTTTTTAAGATTTTATTTATTTATTTGAGAGGGAGAAAGAAAGAGAGAAAGCACGGGAGGGGAGAAGGTCAGAGACAGAAGCAGACTCCCCGCAGAGCTGGGAGCCAGATAAGGGACTCAATCCTGGGATTCTGGGATCACGACCACTTGACTTCTTAAAACTAGGTGACTTCAAACTGGTAACAATAGTTGCGTCTGAGGAATAGGGCAAGGAAAGGGACTGGAGGAAGAAAGGAATACTTTCTACTTGACATTTTCTACTATCTCCACGTCTTATATTTTGTACAGACATAGATTAATTTGTTTTTCAAATGTAGAGTAACTAAATCAGTTAAATAGTAAATGTCTACTCTTTTTAAAAATGAAACCAGGGGCATCTGGGTGGCTCAGCTGGTTAAGCCTGAGCTTAAATCGGTTAACGTGAGCCTTAGGCTCAGTTCATAATCTCAGGGTCCTGGGACAGGGTCCTGGGATAGAGCCTGTATCTACCCCCTGCTCAGCAGAGAGCCTGCTTCTCTCTCTCCCTCCTCCCCTCCCCCTGCTCATGCTCTCTGGCTTGCACAAGCATGCTCTCTTTCTCTCTCTCTGAAATGAATAAATGAAAAAATCTTTTAAAAAAATAAAAATATAATAAAAATAAAACCAAATTTAATATCAAAAATTGGTTGTCAGATATTTTAATATCTCTAAAAAATATTTTCTGAATAAAATTAATTTCAAAGCATCTTCTAAATCTTTTAATTTTCCTTTTCTGCCTCCCAGGGGAAAAAAATACATTGTCTACTCTCCTCACTAGATATTAGCATAGATAAACACAAACTGAAAGAATCTCCCCAAACTTTTGATAGGTAAAACTAACAAAAGCCTTCTGCATAGTGCTTGATGTACGTACCACTCTAAGTTACCCCTGGAGGAGTGAGGACATGCCTTTTATCAAAGTATACCACTCTTGCCTGGAATTCCTAGAAACCTCTCAATAGAATAGCACTGGACAGACACGTTCTTATTTTTAACTTACTAGAAGCTAACCAGTTAAAGTGATTGTGTTGGTGTGCCTAGGTGGCTCGGATTTGGCTCAGGTCATGATGATCCCAGGGTCCTGGGATAGAGCCCTCCATCAGGCTCCCTGCTCAGTGGGGAGCCTGCTTCTCCCTCTGCCTCTCCCATTCTCCCTGCTTGTGTTCCCTCTCTCGCTGTGTCTCTCTCTCCATCAAATAAATAAACAAAGTCGTTAAATATATATATATATATATAAATAAATAAAATAAAGTGATTGAGTTTTTGCTTAATTAACTTTAATGCCAGATACCAAGGATCCAAACAATTCTCTCAATTTCTTTACTAAAAAATTCTTAAAGAGCCAGTATTTAAAAATAAATAAATAAATAACCAACCAACCAACCAATGGCTGTGAGGTTTTTATTTAACAATATCACTTAATGGGGCGCCGGGGTGGCTCAGTGGGTTAAAGCCTCTGCCTTCAGCTCAGGTCATGATCCCAGGGTCCTGTGATTGAGCCCCGCAGTGGGCTCTCTGCTCAGCAGGGAGCCTGCTTCCTCCTCCTCTCTCTCTCTCTCTCTGCCTGCCTCTCTGCCTACTTGTGATCTCTGCCTGTCAAATAAATAAAAAAAATCTTAAAAAAAAAAAACAATATCACTTAAGTTATAGTATTATAAGATATAATTTATATGATTTACCAATAAGGCAATGTTTCCTACACTTCAACAAATCATTACATCAACTTTTCCAACTTCTGACACCATACATAGGACCATGTATTATTATTTCTCCTTAAACAGACACACTCTTTTAAATCAATTTATTCTGAAGTGTTTTATGTCATTGCTGTTAACAGAAAACCAGTATCATCTGCCATTTAGATTCTAGACATAAATGGATATTAAAATACATAATTTACAATATTTAAAAGTTTGTGCACACCACACATTGAGAAACAATGCTTCAAAATATCACGTTTGGGCTAATTTTATAGAAGAATAGCAGGCGAACTTGGGAAGTTAAATAAAATCCTCTTTAAATTAATCCAAAAATATTTCTAAATCACTTCTTTTTATTAAATCCTGTGGTCATTAAATCTTTAAAGCCTGTCCAGAAATAATATACATAAATTTCAGAAGCATTTTGAAATTTACAATGGTATTTCTCCATTCAGATCATTTAATCCCTCTGATACATAAAAAGTGATTCTTCAAACAACAAATGGCTTAATATAGAAGGGCTAAACCAGACTTTTAGTCACAAATTGGCTGATGGTCTTTCTCTGGGGACATTTGCCTCAGTTCTAACTATCTTTAGCTGTGTTTTTAGGTG